AAAGAACCATTTGGATTTCTGGAATGAACTTACTGCTAGTATTCTAATAGAATGAAATTTATTTTATTTATTTATTTATTTATTTTATTTCTATACCGCCATTCTCCCGAAGGACTCAGGGCGGTGTACAGCCTAATTAAAAACACAAAGACAGACAAAATTTAAAAATAATTAAAATTATTAAATAATAGGCCCAATTTATAAAACCCCAAATTTAAAATCCCATTTAAAACCAATTAAACTCTTTACATTGATAGCCCAGCCTGGCAGAACAACATGGTTTTGAGGGCACAGCGAAATACACGGAGATCAGAGATTTTACAAATTTCTGAGGGCAGTTCATTCCAAAGGGCAGGGGTTCCCACAGAGAAGGCCCTCCCCCTGGGTGTCGCCAGCCGACATAATTTGGCTGATGGCACCCTGAGGAGACCCTCTCTGTGGGAGCGAACTGGCCGGTGGGAGGCTACTGGTGGCAGAAGACGGTCTCAAAGGTATCCAGGTCCAATGCCATGGAATGCTTTAAAGGTGGTAACCAACACCTTGAATCGCACCCGGAAGACCACTGGGAGCCAGTGCAGCTCGCGCAGGAGGGGTGTCACATGGGCACAACGAGTTGCACCCATAATCACCTGCGCGGTCGCATTCTGGACCAGTTAGAGCCTCCAAGTGCTTTTCAAGGGGAGCCCCATGTAGAGAGCATTGCAGTAGTCCAGTCGGGAGGTGACAAGGGCGTGAGTGACTGTGCGCAAGGTGTCGCGGTCCAGAAAGGGCCGCAACTGGCAGATCAGGCGAACCTGATAAAAAGCCCCCCCTGGCCACGGCCGTCATATGTTCTCCTAAAGACAGCCATGCATCCAGGAGGATGCCCAGATTGCGGGCCCTCTCTGTGGGGGGTAAAGACTCACCCCCAATAGTCAGTGATGGCACCAGTTGACTATATCACGGTGCCGGGAACCACAGCCACTCGGTCTTGGAGGGGTTGAGTCTGAGCCTATTTCTCCCCATCCAGACCCGCACGGCCTCCAGGCAGCGAGACATCACATCAAGGGCATCGTTGGGGTGGTCTGGGGTGGAGATGTACAGCTGAGTATCATCAGCGTACAGATGGACTCTCACCCCAAAACCACGGATGATCTCAACCAGCGGCTTCACATAACTGTTGAACAGAAGGGGCAAGAGGACCGACCCCTGCGGCACTCCCCATGCAAAGTGCCTCGAAGTCGACCTCTGCCCCCCTGTCAACACAAACTGTGAGCGGTCGGAGAGGAAGGAGGAGAACCACCGTAAAATGGTGCCCCCTATTCCTAACCCCCTCAGCCACTGCAGCATGATACCATGGTCGATGGTATCAAAAGCCGCTGAGAGATCTAACAGGACCAGGACAGAGGAGCAACCCCTGTCCCGAGCCCTCCAGAGATCATCCACCAACACGACCAATCCGTTTTGTGTTGTACCACTGCCTGAAGCCTAACTGGTACAGGTCCAGAAAGATAGCTTCATCCAGGTGCCTGGGCAGTTGTCATGCCACCACACTCTCAACAACCTTCGCCACAAAATGAAGGTTGGAGACCGGACAGTAGTTGGCTAATTCAGCCGGGTCCAGGAAAGGCTTTTTGAGGAGGGGCCGCACCACCGCCTCTTTCAAGACAGCGGGAAAGGCACCCTCACTCAGAGAAGCAGTTATAATCCTCTGGAGCCAGCCTTGTGTAACCTCCCAGGAGGCCAGTACCAACCAGGAGGGACACGGGTCCAATAAACATGTGGCGGCACTAATCCTACCCAGAACCCTGTCCACATCCTCGGGAGCCACAGGATCAAACTCCTCCCAGATAATATTCTCAAGACCTACCCTCGTCTCCTCCCCTGGACTCACCCAGTCAGAGTCCAAGCCTTCCCAAATCTGAGCAACTTTATCATGCAGGAATTGCACAAAATCCTCAGCTTGACCCTGCAAGGGATCTTCCCACACTCCCCCCCGAAGAAGGGAGTGGGTCACCCTAAACAAGGTGGCTGGGCGGTTCTCTGCAGATGCGATAAGAGTGGAAAAATAGTTAGATTTTGCCGCTTTTATCGCCACTAGGTAGGTCTTGATATAAGACCTCACCAGTGTCCGGTCGGAATCGGATTGACTAGTCCTCCAAATGCTCTCTAGGCATCTTTTCCGACGTTTCATCTCTCTCAGCTCCTTGGAGAACCAAGGAGCCAATTGAGGTCGGCATCAGGTCAGAGGCCGCAAAGGCACGACACGGTCCAAAGCCCCGGTGACTGCCCTCTCCCAGGCGGCCACCAGGTCTTCAGTTGAGTCATGTGCCAGGGTCTCAGGAAATGGCCCAAGCTCCATCAGGAACCTTTCAGGATCCATCAGGTGCCTGGGACGGAACCATTTAATCAGTTCCGTCTCCTGCGGCGGGGGGAAACGGCAGGAAAGTCCAAGCGAAGAAGAGAATGATCTGTCCATGACAAGGGTTTAATGTCTAAATCCCCTCTACCAAGATCATTCAACCACTGACCAGAGACAAAAATCAAGTCCAGAGTGTGTCCCCCTGTGTGAGTGGGGCCCTGAACTAATTGGATCAGGTCCATGGCCGCCATGGAAGCCATGATCTCCCAAGCCACCTCTGACGCCTCACCTGCAGATGGCAGGTTGAAATCCCCCATGACAATAAGTCTGGGGGTATCAACCGCCACCCCAGCAATAACGTCGAGCAGCTCGGGCATGGTTGCCACCACATGGCAGGGAGTCAGGTACGTAGTCAGCAAACCCATCTGCCTCCCATGGCCCCACTTCACGAGGAGAGACTTACATCCAGCTATCTGAGGAACAGTGGTCTCCCTCGGACTAAGACTTTCCCTAATAATCGCCGCCACTCCCCCCCCCCTCCCCTGGGCCCTTGGCTGGTGAAATGCACAGAAACCTGGTGGGCACATTTCAATGAGGGGAAACCCCCCCCCATGGCCCAACCAGATCTCTGTAATATCTGCCAGGTCTGCACCCCCCTCCAAAATAAGATAAGTAATAAGAAAGTAAAGGTTCTCTGAGTTTATGGATTGGTTTCCGAATGTTTCATTACCAGACTTGGTAACATCTTCAGTGGAGTAAGGGGATGTCAGTGTCAGTGTTCTGTTTATAAGGACTTAGGTATGGGTGTGTCAAGTGAGGGTCTTGTGACAGCTGTGAGTCAGCTGTGAGTCATCTCCGATTCTTGTAATGAGTCTTGTGATAAGGAGATTGCTTCAGGTCAGGGTTGTTGGGAAGTGAATTGCTGGTGTGTGTGAGGGGGGGAAATTGCATGAGTTGGTTGAATATCAATGCTGAGCCCTTCACACCTAAGCCCTTATAAAGAGAACACTGACACTGACATCCCCTAAACTCCACTGAAGATGCTACCTAGCATGGTAATGAAATGTTCGGAAACCAATCCATTAGCATGGAGAACTAGCCTTCACCCTCATCCTACACCTGAGCTACAGATATTTGCCACTATAGCAAATATAATAGAATTTTGAAAGCCTTCCAAAGCAGTTCTCCATCTCAGTTTATATGCAGCATCATAAAGGTGGACTTACTTTCTTGATATATGTTATCCCCTGCCCTCAACTAAGGATTTTTTTTGTAACAGTCCAGTTCTCTTGTGTAAAGGTCTTGCTCCATCTTCCATATACCCGGACTCTGTTAGACAGCTCATCACAATAACAGGCCTACCTTCTTCCTTCTCCTGTGCCACATTTAGAGGTGTTACATGGCTATACTAGTCAAACATAAAATGCAATATTTGGACACAGTTCCACAAGGAAATATATTGTAATTTCATAATATCAAATGTCTAATCTTTACAGCTCTGAAGAGATATGTGAGTCTGAAGAAATCTTAGGGGAGAAAAACATTGGCACTAAATTAGACTTCCATTTGCCAATGAAAGCTTCCTCAAATTACCTCAGATTGCTCCTGCAAACACTAAAAAACTTAAGTGGCCTATCTTATTAATGCCAATAGTCTAGCAACCAATACGTTAACATTGTTAAAGGTTTTGGCTGCATTCCTACTATACAATTGAATTCAGTTATAATATGCTACGTAAAGACAAACTGCACTGTAACAAATAAGAAATGCATTCAAAAATGAGTAAGCATAGTACATGATGCAGGTCAGGTCAGCTCAAGTAATAAGCTTGGTTGAAATGAAAATTTATATTTCTACTGTGCACACATTTGACTTTCTGCTTAAGACAAATAGAACAAACGGCAAAAATAAGCATTCTCAATTTGTATTATTTCCATGGCTGCAAACTCTTTTTACTTATTCTACAGTTCATATGTGTTCTATACCAAAGGAAGACATTTTATTCCCACCAAGTTTTTATGAACTACTTGTCATTGCCATACAAGATACATAGTGGAGGTTGAAGTCAGAAGTATCTTGAAGACAACAAGCTTACCTACCTCTTTTCTATTTTAAAAGCCAAAGTATTTCTGAATATAGGAGATCTATACATTTAAGTATGGATTTAATATACAGTAATCATAAGAAAAACATATATAAGGATGGATTTCCAAGTTTTCTCTCATCCAAATACAATTCTCTCATCCAAGCACACTCTTGGTATTAAACACTGCTTGAAAAGAAAAACACTGAGGAGGCAAACTTCAGGAAATTAAATTTCAGTTGGAGAGAGGATCCTGTATTCCTCATGCAGCCATATTTTATTATTAAAAATGTATTTTGATGACTTTCATATATTGGTCATGTTATATATTGGTCATATAGTTTGGTCATGCTAGTTTGGCTCTCACAGGTTGGGAAAACACAAAAGACCTATAGAAAAAGGCGATCAGATTGTTAGCTCTGGATTGCCTCAATGGAAGCAATCTTTTTTGGATATGTCAGACACAGGAGAATGGATTAATGAACTTGCCAGAAATAATTGTGAAATCAGTAAAGACAATGTCCTCTTCCCCTCACAGAAATTGCTCTCATGAGAATTACATGCAGATGTACACACCTCTCTTTAAGTTGTTCAATATCAAACAGGATTTCATCTCTCTGTATCCGTGCTCTAGCACTAAGGTTCTCACTCTGTAGGTTTTCCAGATAATCTTCAACTTCTGTTGGGGAAAAGATTGCAAAGAAATAAATAATTAGACTTTATTCAGAAATGTGAACAATATACTGAAAATTATTAAACTGAGGACAAATAAACATAACCTCATTTAAAATAAAGGTGAATGACCATTCATTGACAAAGACAGTAAGAAAAAAACAAAGCTAAATTTATTAATAAATAAAAGAAAGCAAGTTAGAAAACCAGAAGTAAACAAATATTATATGTGTGTAGACAGAGGAAGAAATCTAGTTTGTTGTTATGATATATAATGTCCACAAAAATTCAATATTTCTTGAATTATTTTATCAATCACATTAAAAAAAAAAAAGAATGCTCCTGAAGGGAGGAAAAGTAAATAAATAAAAATAAAAGGTAGAAACTTATTTTTTTACTTATTTTATTTCCTGCATATGAGATTGCTATCTGAGCCATTTCATCACATACGATCATATATTATTCTACAATAAATAACTGTTTTGCACCACCAAATGTACATATAAAGGGATGACAAGGCTTATTTCTTGGTACATCTACACTTTTTATACTGATAAAAAAGCCAAAGGTACATAATTAATTCTAATTCCTGTGTTATAGTAGATCAACAATAGGATGCAATGTAATAAAAATGCCAATCACTTCTGCAAATTTCTCCAATACACAACTTTTCCCTCACATTTCCACAGATATCAGCCATGTTCATAGGAAATGAGATAGGATGCCTGGACAAAAAAAAATGCAGAGTAGACCAGGAAGAGTGGTACATAAACCATAAAAAATTGAATTACTTTATTTTTACTGCACATCTGTGATCTTATAAAATATCCAGAAAAGGCAATACAAGTGAACAAGTTCAGATGCCAACATTTCCCAGGAAAGGAGAAAAACAAAGAAAGACAGAAACAGCCTTGCCCAACCTAAGATTGGTACTTCTCATTCAAATATATATTTAAAAGGTGGGATGGGGAAGGAAGGGTTAGAAAAACTTGTAAACAGAATAAATTAACTATTATATAATTACAAATGTAAGATTTTATTTAAATAGAATTTAACCTATTTAAAGTTGGAAAGACACAGAACGTCATATTTAAAAACCCAATGAAAAAGGTCCTTTGGACTGCCAGTTTAAAAACTGCGCTTTGGATTAGCCCTAGTTTATTGTTAGCCAGAGGACCTTAGAGTTAAAATCTGATGTACTGAAAATACTTTTAAGTATGTTTACTAAATAAATTTCTTTCAGTACTGAATAAACACAGCTTGTCCCCTCACACCTGCCAAGATTAGGAAGTAGTTTTCCATGCAGCCTCAAGCCTTAGCAATTATTCTTTTATAAATTAATTTCTTGTTATTATTCTGATGATGTTGTAAAGTAACACACTCTTACTTACAAATGAACATCTCTATATGTAGGTGAAGTACTTGACAATCCAACTTCTATTTCTGATCTATGTTTTCTAAACAATATGATTACTTCTGATGACATATAAGACAGACATAGTAGCTGACACTGCAGCCTGTTTTTCTAGCTTATATTAATAGAATGTGCCTTCACTATTGGAAGGCCTAGAGACTTTCTGGGTTGTAAAAAATGCGGCAAGTTTGATAATAGGAGAGCATGACATGCAATTAATCTCCATTCATAGCCTGCTCTACTTGTCAGGAAAAGAAGACTCCTTCTTTAGAAGGAGATCTGAAGACTTCAATTAAAAAGAGTCAGCTAACAAGAAAATAATCTAAGCTAAAGGAAAGGTGGCAGGTGCCGAAAATGAGCTGTTTACGAGAAATGTCAGCTCAAAACAATAAAGCACTGAACATTAAAAAGAAGCAAAATGAAATGAGTTGACAGTATCACATCCTCCATTTTAAAAAGGAAAAGAAGACCACATGTTCAGATGGGGAAGATAATTCAGTAAGAAAAAAAAAGTGTTTCTAAACCAGAGCCCAAAATGTTGAAACTTATATTTGAGCTAAAAATCTTTTTAAAAGCTGTTTTTAGTTTCTTGTTTCAACTCTGGCACATATGAACTAACAAGAATGTCCACAAGCCTCTGCAGCTTTCATCTCATTAATTCACACATATGGTGATCAAGTATTTGTCATCAAGTTATAAAGTAACTCTTTAAAATCTTTTCTGACTAAATCCTTGCAATATTCAGTTGGATAAACCAACTGAAAATTAACACTATAGTAGAAATATCAAAAATCAAAACTAACTTAAGTAGGTTGACAAATGAGATGAAGGGAGAAAAAGTTAAATCAATACCATGAAGCTGGGTATAAGCATCAGAAGAGACTAAGTGATACTGCTATTAATTTTTAGAAACTTGCTCATCATTTGTATGTACAATTCTACACACATAGAGAGATATTTTTTAATGTCAAATGTTCTGCAAATGTATGCTAGCATTGCAAACAGACTATAGAATAGCATTCCAGTTCAAAGTTATGGTCAAACTTTTACCTGAATATAACTTAAAAAGGGAGTGGGGAGAAATATAAATTTATAAATTAAAGGCATTGAAAGTCCTATTTCCTTCAACATGTATCTTTGTAAAGTTGTTTGATTAGCATTCAGAAGACCAAATACCAAAATGAACTAAATGTTACACCTTCTCTAAGGCCTTGTCTAACAAATCCCTTCTTTATAAATCATTAAAATATACCATCATCTGCAACATTTTGATATTAAAAAATTATAAAAGGACTAAGGATCCAGATAAAATTGAAATATTGAAACTTTTACAATAAGATTTTTGGAATGAATTAGAAAAAAATCAATAGCTTTTCTTAGGAAATAGATTCTATTTGGGTTTTTAAGCAAAGATAGGCAATTTCATTATTTCAGAATGGGATACTAGAGCGGACTAAAGTCAGTACTTTATATATTTTCTTTCCCTTTATTATATTCTTATTTTTCTCTATTTTTTTTCTTTTTTCTTGCATTTTTCCTCTTTTCTATTCTTTTTTCTTTGTTTAAGTTTAGTTTGTACTACATTTCACTATTATAATTAAAATTCTTAAATGGATGGATGATAATACACATAGCAATAGTTGAGGTCTATTGATGAAATTGTTTATTTGTGTTAAGCATATTTTACAAGATTAGACTTGTCTCGTTTGATGAGCAACTAAATCAGGGGTGTCAAACACAATTTCATTGAGGGCCTCATTAGGGCTGTGGTTGACCTTGGGGGGCCGGGCAGGCAAGGCTAACTGGGTGGGTGTGGCCAGTTGACACCACTCCTCAAACTGCTGGCATGTTTCCACTTTGTATTGGGTAGACCAGGCCAAAGCCACATTGGCCGGATGTTTCTTCTTTGCATTGAGTAGACTGGGCCGAAGCCATCCTGGCCCAATGTTTCCTCTTCGCATTGGGTAGACTGGGCCAAAGCCACCCTGGCCCAATGTTTCCTCTTCACATTGGGTAGACCGGGCGGAAGCCAATGCAGGCCAGTCCCTTACATTTTCCAGGATAGCCCGGGAGGGCAGATCTAACCCCATTGCAGGCCAGATTCAGCCCACGGCCTTGTGTTTGACATCCCTCAACTAGGTGGTCAAGATCACCAACCTTATGATCAAATCCATTCCTCACTTCTCTTTCTTTCTTTCTTTCTTTCTTTCTTTCTTTCTTTCTTTCTTCTTTCTTTCTTTCTTTCTCTTTCTTTCTTTCTTTCTTTCTTTCATTCTTTTTCTGATGCTACAAAAGGGCTTAGTTTAGAGAAATTCTACATAATGGAACAAGTTTGTCACCTACTTCTTACAAGGTCATTGTTTATATAACCCTAAATGAGGCTTGGCTTAAAAAGGTTAAGAAACAGAAATGAATAAGCATTAAGCAGTAGTATCCCATGGTTCGAAAATATGTACCCTCCCATTTTAAACAACTGCACCTTGCAAAAATGAAAACATCCAGCATACCCTCCTATATTGTTTATTTTACAGAGATACTTGTAATACTCATCTTTTTTCATTACTTATAAATTGCCCGACTATACAGGGTAATTTTATGTCACCATATCACTTTCTAATTATATTTCTAACACATTATGTTGCTGTTTTATGCAGCACTGTGCAAAATTTGTGGAGAAGTCATTGTTAGAAGTAATCAGACCTAGGTAGCTTATAACTGTCCTGTTGTCCTTAACTCATAGTTATGTAGTACTGTTTATCCTACTATAGCTTGTTATAGTTCTTTTTTGATTGGACCACAGAATATTACATTATTATACACTATATAACATTCCTTAGATGTAGCTTTAATCTTAATTAATCTTGTAACTTCTCAAGTACTTTTACTCTTTTCAAAACTTGCAATCATAGGTTACCATTAATGGCATGATTGTAAACTTTTAAGTCTTTTATCATATATTTGTCAGTGACCAAAACATACCGTTATATTATCAATAAAGAAAATACATAAGCATTCTGCAATTTTTGAAAGATTAGATAAGCTAATATTAGGTGCGTTGCAACATTTAAATACATACACACACATATAATCAATGAATGAAATGCTTTGTTATTGTTTTTAATGAATTTATGCAAACAATTTATATAGAATGCAAAATAATAGAATGCAGACACCCTTCCTGTCTTTGAAGGAGTCTGATAGCACTTTTTCCAACTAATAAATGTTACTAAAAGTCATCAAATGCTTGATAGTGGCTTGACTAATGTAGGATTTAAATTGGAAAGAGTTGGGGAAAGGAAATGGAGATAGGTTGATTATGCAGATAAAGGTTATATGTGAGGCAGATTATATGTTACCTTCTCAGTTAAAAACCCATTATTTGTTGAGACCTTTTCAGCCTAAAACATTTTAATGTATGTGAGTTCAGCAACCTTTTTATTAACTGTGCAGTTAAAATCTCATTTTTCCAAAAGGATCACTTTAAAATGTGCAAGAGAGTGCCCAGGGAGGTTAAAATGCCCCAATACCACTTTGTCCTTATTTTGAGTAGATGTGTCCTCATATGAACTTGTGTCCATTAATTCTTTTGAGCA